GGGGGGGGGGGGGGGGGGGAGGGGGTGCGAGGGCACCCGTCGAACCCTCCCTTCCTACGGGCCTGCTTATTTAAGTCAGTGTGAAGTGAAGCTATACAGTAAGCCACGTGCAGTCATACACTGCCTATTTTTTATATTTGTTTTAGATCACCCTCATGACTGAGATATTATTTAAACAATTTAAACAGAGAGCATCGAACCTTTCCTTCAAATGAACATACAAACATTTAAAACTGATAGACTTGGATATCAATACAGTTTGGATAAAAAGTCTGACGTCTTTTCTTAACATATCAATAGGATGTTTTCAAGGTCAGTCTTATTTCAAGAAAATAACCTTATTGGCACTGAAGTCACAAACTAAAATACGACCATCAGGCATTGTAGCCATACCCCATGGCCATGTTAACTTGGTAACAGTTTTCCCAATAAATTGACCCTCTATAGTGAACTGTTGCACGCGACCACTGTCTCTGTCACTGACCAAAATATTTCCATGTTGGTCTACACACACTCCATACGGCTTTAAAAACTGTCCGTCTGCATTGCCTTTTTCTCCAATCTTACGCAAAAAGTTCCCTGAAGAAGTAAATACTTTCAAACAGCTGTTCAAACTGTCAGCAACTATAAACATGTTTTTGTAACAGACACAGCCCACAGGATTGTTAAGTTTTTCCGGGCCGCTATCTCCAAATATCAAAATGGGTGCACCATCCCTTGTCAAAGTCAGATACAATTATGCCTCCTTCATCATCCACACAAACACTTGTTGGACTGTGAAAATTCCCATCTCCTTTCCCATACCGTCCAAAGCTGTTTTCAAAGTTCTGCGCCGAGTGCACGTTGAACTGCTGTACTCGGTGATTCAATTCATCTGCCACTAAAATCTCATCATCATTGATGAATGTCACGTCAGTTGGACAGTGAAGCTGCCCAGGTTTCTCTCCCTTGCAACCCAGTTGTCGCACAATCTTTCCGTCTTTATCACATATTAGAATACAGTTCTTCTCGTAGTCTGCTATGGCGATTAATCCTTTACTACTCATTGCAACACCAGTTGGCTTTTGCAGAGTTTGATTTTGCAAGTGTAACTCATCATCAACTTCCAGCTTTCGTTCCTGTACCTCGATAGTGAAGGGACTTTGAGAAAGGCTGTCGCCATTTATTTTTGCTGAGATGTGGTAAAAACCCGGCAGTTTAGGAACAAATTTCACTTGGAAATTTCCGCCTGCTTCATCGTTCCCTTCGTTGACGATCAAACTTGCCAGTTGGTCAGCAGGTTCCACTTGAACCTCAACGTGATCCCCATGTTGTTTGTTACTGATCTGTCCTTCGCTTGTCTTTGGGCAAACCGAAATCTCTGCTTCAACGCCAGCTTGGAAAGTTTGTTTCAGTCCTTCAATTGTTGATTTGTTCGGGTCTGTCTCGGTTGATTTTATTATGCCGAGACTCAAAGTATCTAGCTTACAAGTTGACACGAACTTTACAAACGAACCAGCAGGCAGATCGGGCATTTGAGTTTTGCGAAGCTCTTCAAATCGTTCCTGTAAATTCTTTCTGTTTCCTATAATGTCTGCACTCGAGCTTCTCTGAGCCAGTTCACTTGCAAACTTTTCTGCTTGTTTGATCTGTTTTTCTAGCTGTTGAACTTGTTTCTTCACGGCATCCAACTTCTGCATTCGGGACACGCGTGTGTTCTCGAGCGTGGTAATTGCCTCGCGTTCGCGTTCGCGAATCACAGCGATCATTTGCTCGGCTGATTGAGACACTTGGCTCGACTTGGCGTTTAGCCCTTGCGATATTAGCTTCAAGATTGGCGGCTGTCTCCTCGAATTGAGGGATAATATCGCTGCACATTTGGTGTTTTTGTCGTATTGATTCAACTCCCGCCAAAATTTTGGCTCTTTCTTCATCCGCTGCCTTGTCGAGCAGCTCTATTTCATGAGTCTTGTGTTCCATACTTAAGCATATTTGACAAATACAAGTTTCGCATACGCGATAGTAAAACCTTGTTACCTCTTTCTCGTGGTACTTCTGAGCGCAGAATGCCTTTTTCTTTAGCAAAGCTTCGTAATCTTGTACTTGAAACTGTTTGACCGACGTCACCTTGTGTCCTGAGAAAGCTGTAGTTTGAAACATCTCATGCGCCTGGAGACACTCTTGACAAAGGAACATCTCGCAGCCGAAACAATAACTTAATTCAGCGCTCTTTTTTGTGCAAACTTTGCAGCTGATCTGACTTCCATCGCCACTTTGTTGAAAAGCGAGAAGGCTTAATAAGCTATTGTGCAGAAAACTGGTCGGTAACTGATCAAATCTGTTTCCTTTGGGAATGGCTATTTGTGTCTGGCATTCAGGGCAGCGAAACTGACCATCTCTCTGACTCGTAAGCGCGTGTTTCTTCAGACATTCACAGCAGAAAGTGTGAAGACACGTTATGGTTTTCGGCTTGGTGAAACTTTCTAAGCAAATCGAACACTCAACGTACTTTTTGAGGTTTTTTAGCAGAGTCTCCATCTCGAAACGCCCAACAGACTTTGCCTGATGGCAGTTTTTAATTTCGTTTGCAACAGTTAACATGACCTCGCGACCTCAGTTGCTAAGTTTCTATGACGTTAACCCTATCAGCGAATTGTGTTTTTGCGGATTATTAACGCGTAAATTTACAGTTCGGTTCACGTTTGACACTAGCACTATGGAATTAAGCTCTATTAATTGAACTAAAATCGAGTAAATGCAAAGTTGGAAACTTTTTTTCCGGCATTGGTTCAGAGTTTTGCCTTACAAAGTAGCCTATAATTTCTCTTCTAATATAGAGCTTCTTTTACAGAAGTTCAGGTTGACTATGCTTATAAATGTGCTAGTTCTTTACCGAACAGGAATGGCGTCACAGCATATGGCATCATAAGAGCTATTTCACAGATCTATGAAGAAATTAGAGTTGCCCCTTTGTGATTGAGTTTCAATACAGCAGTTCAACGTGCATTTAGGTAACCATGTGAACAGCTTTGGGCGACATGGGGCAGGGTATGGGGAGTTTAAGAATCCAGCCAGTGTTTGTACGGATGGCGAAGCACACATTATTAGATTTTAACAACTACCGAGTTCAGGTTTTGACACGGGATGGTGTACCTACGTTAGAATTTGGAGACAATGACCTAGAAAAACTGCACTATCCTATAGGTTGTATCTATTACAAGAACGTGTTTGTTGTTACTGACAGTGGAAACGGCTGTTTAAAAGTATTCGATTCATCAGGGACTTTTTTGCGTATGACTGGAGAAAGAAGCAATGCAGGCAGAGAGCTTGAAAACCCGTGGGGATTGTGTGTAGACAAACATGGAAATATCTTGGTCAGTGACCCATTTAGTGGTCATGTGAAGCAGTTCACCGTTGAAGGACACTGGGAAAACCTTTAATAAACTAACATGGTCATGGGGTGTAACCACAATGCCGGTGGTCGCATTTTAATTTCTGACTGCACAGCAGGAGAAGTTCTGGTCTTGTACAAGAGAGAATAAACGCTGGAAGATTATATATATGCATTATATACTGGATCACTGAGAAAGAATGTCGAAATATTTTTGATATCTAACAAATCGACACCTTTTTAATTTGTCTTTCCTCTCAATGGTGAACTGACAATTACGTCATATAACACGTCAAAGTTTATTGTGGACCCACTGGCCTGCGGACCATAACTTTTTGATAATGTATGACGTAATTTTATCATCAAAGGGAAAAGCCCTGAGTAACTTCGTTCCCAGGTTGAGCCCTGATGACGAGGTTGCATCTCAACATGAGATTGTTTAAACATTGTTTGAGCAAAAGATGACAACTTTATACTACTGACTACGTTATGATAAAAGTATCATAATGTCTTAGAGCTTGCAATATGAAGTGTTTTTATCGCCTCCTGCAACCTTTCCCCGCTCCCCTTCACAGAAACTTACGGCTTATAAGGTCTTAATTTTGTATGCTACAAAACATCTTGTCATTAAAGATATGGTTTCCACCCTCCCCAACCTCTAACTATGAAAAACCGATGATGTTAAAACAAAGTTTTACAGTATCGCTCTCCTTGCAACAATGATGAACTTAAATAAAACAAACAAATAAACAAACAAACAAAACAACAACAAAAACTGTGAACTGTTTCTTCTTTGAGTTAGGGCACAAGGGTATTCAAAAATTGCTAATGCTCTTCAAGAATGTTGCACGGCCGCGTGGGTCGCTATTTTTTACAATCGTGACACTGAACAAGTCCTTTTAATCGTTTCTCTAACACTTTCTTTTCGATAACGAATTGAAATAAATGGGAGGTGCATTCGCCCTCTCGTTGCTTTCGCAAAAAACAATGAGTAAATGAAAACACGCGTGCCTGAGTTTAAAGGGAACTTGACTTCATAGAGGGAATTCATAAATTATATCAATTAGGGACTACAAAATGCAAGGAGGTGGGGAGGGGGGAGAGTGTAAAGTGATACACCAAGAGAGGAGGGGGGCGGTGTCTAAATTATTTAGTGGAAAGTGGGGATGATATAGGTAATTTTCAACAACAATTCAAATATGAAAAATACAGCAGGAAAACATATTTCAAAGTTACAGATGTGGAACTGATTATGTCACTTTTTAAATTGCATTTAATTTCCTAAATGTTCATTTCAGGAACATTTCTTTATTAAACTAAGAAGCCAAGTTTACGTATAGCTCTGCTCGTTTCCAAATTAAGCTGAATTCTTTTTCTCATCTGACACGTAGTAGTTTATATATACCATTTAACTTTTCCTGCGCAGTAGGGTACGACCATAGCGAACGGTGGTGAGGTGGATGTGGCAAAAATTTCGAAGGTTGTTGAGAAAGCAGAGGATTTTACACCGTCAGAGTCATCTTGTCTTTACCTTGCAGGTGGGCTGCCACAGCAATAAGCACAATTGCTCATCAGTTGTATTGTTGATTATTTGGGGTTTTCATATTCCTCACAATCGCAGTTGACTTTACACTAAAATACTGATTCCTCTTCTATCAGTGTTGTATGCTCGTTTGTCAATTCCCATTGAAGACAAAGATCTCGAACAAGTGAATGTTTAAAAGTAGAATTCAGTGTATTGTTTCTGCCAGTGTTTTTCGGCCCAATGCATGCGCGGCGGCAACGCTAGAGTTTGCTGGAAATAAGCCATTTATAGGGCCGTGGTGGAATTAAGGGATCCTTAACAGGGAGTGTAAGAAGTTATTTCAGCTATTTTACAAGGGTTGGAGTAAACGTTTAGCCACATTTCGCTCATTTCAGAACCTCTCCTTGCTAATAATTATTGCAGAGGCCCTTATGCACACACTTGCATTTGGATAGGGCAACAATTCGGAGAAATGGGAAAAGAAAATACACTCTAAAATGATCTTTTGATATATTCCCACTAAATAAAAGGAACCGATTAAACACTTGAAAAGGCCATTAGGAAAGTCCCCTAGGCTACAGTTTTTGTCAAGCGGTCTCATGGTGATTTTCACCGAGTGAAATATTCAGCGCTAACGCTGCTTGGGAAGAATTCTCAATGCAGCCAGCTTTTTATAATAAGGCAAACACTCTTCCACAGCCGACACAACTTCCGGTGGAAGATCAGTTGGTTCTCCTGTGTTTTCTTGAGGGGGTAAAAATCCTGCGCTGTTCATAACCTCGTCATGCCATGCGGTACAGGGTCCCCACTCTGCAACTGGCCCTGGCTGCCAGGAGATCATGCGTTCATCGAACGGAAGTCCAACTGCCTCACAGTAACTCTGCATGATTTCGTTTGGAAATCTTAGGAGATCCTCTGCATCTACAACAACTGGGTTCTTATGAACGTGACGGTCGATGAACTGGTACAACTCAAACAACTGCCGGAATCCTGTCTCTGCTGGATCGAAGTAATCCCATCCCGCCAGCTCGGGATTTGTCGAGAGCTTGAATAGAGAGCTGACTGCTTTTTTAGGATCTCGGATCATAAATGTATGCTTGAAGTTCTTGAAGCCATCTTCCAAAAAGATGTCGAACTTCCCTTCAACACAGTACGCCATATCTTTAATGAAGACAAATTCCTTGCCATCGAATTCTTGTTGTTGCAGCATTTTACTGACTGACTGATAGCTTGATTGAGAAAACGCCTGCAAAGACTGGGCACACGCGGGTCTCGGGCTTTTTCTTTCGGGACTATAATAGAAGAGTGTCAGGAAGGGCTCATGGAATACCTTTCCGTTCTGAAGGGTCCTGACAGACCTCTCAACCGCTGTTGCTACGCAACGAGGAGCACACCATAGAAACACGCCTGTTTTCACCATCTGAAACAAACAAACAAGAAACGAAACTCATCAATCAACGTGTCGTGATAAAATTCGAGAAGAAGAGGCACGCGAATGTGTGCATGTGGCTTCAAAAATGAAAACAAAACAAAACAAAAACAAGAGAGGATGTTTTCCTCTGTGGAGAAATCACTGGAAAATCTAGATCTCAAAGGTTGGCATCTTTACCGCTACCTTGGGTTCCAGAGGATATTTTTTTCTTATCGATACTGACCGTAAGCACAGTTATTTTATATGAGGTATATTGAGAACGGACCTCTGCAGCTAGGGTACTTCACCGCACGCTTCTAAGTAATTTCAAAGAAAAAGGAATTTGGGAAAATCCAAGAAAAAAGGATTGGCCAACAACTGTTCAACAATTATTGAATGAAGTTGTTCTTGTTCAAAACACTAGCGGGAGCCAGCACTTGCCACTTGCCCCTGCAATGAGTTTATTATTTTTCGGCGCCTAGGAACTATAGGCTGATTTATAGGAATTTAACCTAGACCGCCGAAAGGCTACAAAATAGGAGGGACATGATATGAGACAAGGAGTAGAGGAAGCGGAGAAATAAGCAATAGTCACGCAGAAGTGTCTTCAACAGTCAGCAATAGTTTTTACGATCCGATGGCCGGCCTTGGAGATGGAATATCCTTTTAGATTTATTACTAAGCATTTTTTACGTATTGATCATAGGATTCTTTTCTTTTGTTTTAGAGAACCCTGTGATCCAGTACCCTCGTTCATATCATTTATTGTAGGCACATAAGTAGATACTGTTTTGAA